ATAGACATATATATATATATATATATATATATATAACTATGCAAGAGAAACAGAAGAAAAGGAAACTTGGATAATCAACCTATTAAAAGGAGCTAAACTCCCCCTACAAGGCCTAGTTTGCAGCTTTGAAGAACTTTTTAATCCAGCGCTGTTCCTGAATCTCTATGGGATGGAAATAGTAATTATTAGTATTAGTAACTTTTCTGCAACTTCCTCAAATGTATGTATTGCAACAATTTCTGAGGTGGTCAGACATGGTAATAATCATCTATGCAATTGTGACATGTTTAAACTACTAAACTGCACAACTGTGCACTAAATGAGTCTACCTTTGAAGAATCTCTAGGTTACTGGAAAATTCAACAGCTAGAATTGGTGGATCATCATAATTTCATTGTATCTGTTTGAAATATAGGTCTGGTGATTCTTAAGTAAGTAAGGCCTTATATTTGCCAACCTCTTGGCTTTCCTCATCTCTTGCCCAGATAGGTGCTAACAATAGATGCCCGCAACCATGGGGATAGCTCCCACAGCCCCATCATGACCTATGAAGCAATGAGTGCTGACATCCATCTCTTTCTGAACCAGCTGCATCTCAATAGGTGTGTCTTAATTGGCCACAGCATGGGCGGCAAGACAGCTATGGTATTCGCGTTACAATGGGTACGCACCTCTAATTTCTTCTTCTGGTATTATTTCACTGTTGATATTGGAGTAATGTGGCCTTTTAGACAAAAGGTGACTTGATTATTGAGAGAGGAGGAAAAGTAGATGCTTAGGATGTAGAAATATTTTATTATCAGAAATTTGTGTATGGGGATGAAGGGGCACATGCAGTTTGCATCCATTGCAACTAAAAGATTTGTGTATAATAGATATCATAGATAGATGATCGGTGGATGGATGGACAGATGCTTTAGGAAATCCTGTCATATAATATTGTGAACAATAATATAACAGTTTATAATTTTTATGGATAGCTGATATAAAAACAAATCTAACAAATTGATCCGGGGTTGCCACTTAAATCATAAATCTGCATGATCAAATTATCATATTTGGAATACTATATGAAGACCTAGCTGTCTAGACAAGGTCTATAATGCTGAGAAAGGTGAGAAGAAAGGGAAGATGATGACATTGGAAACCACTGGAAAACCTGGGTGTATATATATCGATAGATAGATGTATCGAGGTGTGTGGGTGTGTGTGGGTGTGTTCTGAAGCCACAGCACCCAAAAGGTGCATTACAAAACAGTTCCTCTATTTTTAAAAAAAAATTAGCTACAAAATCCCAGGCTTAAACAGTTGTACAAGTTCAGAACAGACAAGAACTGAAATACCTCAAAATGTATTTCAAATTAACAAGGACAGTCAACATTAATTATCTTGTATAGGGAAGGTAACTATTGTAAAATTTGAAACAACTGTGAACTCACAACAGGCTTCTAGCCAATTTTACAATTTTTAAGTATAATTTCACACGTACTCTTTTAGTCCCTACACTCAGAAGAGCACGATGCAGAATAGGTGCAGCAACTGTTAGTCGCACTTGACCCATTCCCTCTTCTGGAAGAGGGGATAAGGGACATAGATTCTAGTCAAAGGTAAGGTTTTAAATCTCTCTTTTTTTCCTTCTGAAACACAATTGCCTTCTCACAATGTCCGTGATGGAAACTGAAACAGAATAACAATTTTTGTCGGATACACTGAATCTGCTCTTAACTTAGAATTCTTATTAGAGTCTAGGCTAGGGACTTAGTGTGACAGCTCTTTCAGTCAATGATTCCTGTGACCTTCCCACCTACCCCATCCCCCAATTTGTTTCACTTGCAGCCAGAATTGGTGGAGCGCTTAGTGTGTGTTGACATCAGTCCTAGCCAAACAAAAGATATCAGTGGCTTTCAGAATTACATCGCTGCCATGAAAGCAGTGGATATCCCTAGAGGTATTCCTCGTTCCACTGCACGCCGTATGGCCGAAGAACAACTGCGCCCAACTATTCAGGTAAAGTGCTTTTGTCAAAGAACACAGTTTATATATTTCAGATTCAAGCTGCTTCACCTCCCTAAGTGAGGCTTGCAGAAGTGTGGGAAAAGAAAGTACAGTATTTTTAAAAAACAGAATATATCATTCTTCAGGGCTGGGCATGTCTGATCATATTAAAGGGACAAAATGTAAATCAGTTTACCAAATTCAGCTTTGTGTAAATGTACTCACACACAATTACATGCCCAAGGATTATGTTTCACATTTAAGCCATCATCCCAGTACTTTTTATTTTTGTTTCTGTGTAGGAGCCAACCATCCTCTATTTTCTACTTACCAACCTAGTGAATGCTGAGGACCAGTTTGTATGGCGTGTAAATCTAAAGGCCATTTCACAGCATCTGAATGACATCATGAGTTTTCCTGACTTCCAGACATCTTATCTGGGGCCTACTCTCTTTCTTGGGGGTTCCAAATCTGGCTATATTAGGTAAGAGACTTGGAGCATTGTTTTAAATAATGTTTGCAGGGTTGCAGTCTGAAATCTTTTTACATTGCATATCAATTTCCAGTAAACAGTAGACTATAAGCTACATATCCCAAAAGGTAAATTTATCTTGCTGAGTGTCTGCAGATGATGCTTTTGAACATAGGTGTGATTTAATCTGAATTGTATTTTGCACAACTAGACCAAATATATTTGGAAGTTTAGATCTGGTGGATGTTTCTACCATAGTCTTGCGGTTTAACTTTGGCTTCCAGAATGGTTTACCATTCCACCTTGCTTTTTAGGGCCAGGTGAAATCATAAGATCCTTTTTCACTGAGGTTTTTTTTTTACTGCTTTTTAGTTTTTCTCCTTCACAAACAACTAGTTACCTTTATTTTATTTTATTTTATTATTATATTGATTGATACACTTTATATACTCCACAAAGTTCTTCTTGCAATTTTTCCTATTTCCTTCTCATTTCTGTGTCTACTTTTCTGCAGTTCCAGTAACTACCCTGAGATCAAACGGCTCTTTCCTGAGGCTGAAATCCAGCATATTCCTGATGCAGGGCACTGGGTTCATGCAGATCAACCCCAAGAATTCATCACTGCCATTTGCAATTTCATTGCACTCCATCCACGCTAGAATTTCTGAACAGATCCACACAAACTATCCTATCAAGAACAGAATAGAACAACAGAGTTGGAAGGGACCTTGGAGGTCTTCTAATCCAACCCCCTGCCTAGGCAGGAAAACCTATACCACTTCAGACAAATGGTTATCCAACATCTTTTTAAAAACTTCCAGGTTGGAGCATTCACAACTTCAAGATTGGAAGTTTTCTCATTGGACTTACTGTTGTACGTGACTCATGGTCTGATTTCAAAAGCTCCATGCGAGTGATCCATTCAGAGTATCGGTCAAATTGTCAGTCCTTCCCTAGTGATTTGCTGCTTGGAAGAGTTAGAAGTTGGAGTTAAGAGAATGAGAGAAAAGAGAGATGTTAGAGAAAAGGAGTGTCAGAAAGCAAAACAGAGGAGTCTTACTCACTTTTGGCTCTGGCTCAACCAACCGTTTGCTCCAGTACTACCAGTCATTTGATGCAAACTTCAAGAAGGTACATTTTACGCTCTCAGGTTTCCCACTTCTGACCTAAATGAAGCACATAGATATTGAGATACTCAGAATCTTACCCATTTATTCAACTAGATAGCATGTGTCAATCTACTTGTGGTTAACAGGGAACTGTGATCTACACATGTATATATGTTTATTTATTTTTAACCCTACAATATATATTGTATATATATTGTTTGCCTCTCTCTCTCTATATATATGACAATTCATTGCTCCAGATGAGAAATAGATTTCACCCTCCAGTGTTTCTTAATTGTTCAGCCAGCCCCCACTCCATAATTCTTGATAATACAAGGTCACATGCTTCTTTAGACAATCCATATAGTAATAAAACTTTTGTTCCTGTAGACTTTAACTGTGCAAAACAATGCATCATTTAGCAGCTGTTTTTGAACCAAGGAACCCAAATGAGCTAACTTGCAGAATTCATCCAAAGTCCAGGACCTATGACTCCCATGGAATTGAAATATAGTAAATTTTATAAAACAATATATGAATTAAAATTATCATATACCAATTCAGAACACTCAGGTAGTTCTCTACTTACAACCATTTAGTGATTATTCAAAAAGTTACAATATCACTGAAAAAAAATTGACTTATATAACTGTTTTTCACACTTACAACCGTTGCAGTATTCCCATGGTCACGTAATCAAAATTTGGATGCTTGGCAACTGATTCATATTTATGACGGTTGCAGTGTCCCGGGGTCATGTGATTACCTTTTGCAGCCTTCTGACAAGTAAAGCCAATGGGGAAGCCAGATTTTCTTTACAAGTTTGTTACTAACTTAACAACTGCAATGGTTCATTTAACAACTGTGGCCAGAAAGATCACAAAATTTGGGCAAAGCTCAACTCTTGCTTAGGAACAGAAATGTTGGGTTCAATTGTGGTAATAAGTCCAGGACTACCTGTAATACAATGTCATAAAACATCTCTGCCGATGATTGACCATACTATAGAGTTCAACATGGACTATTTGCAAGGCAGATACATCTCTGAAAGTATCCCAACATTTCCAGTGAAGACAGAGTATTAGAAGCTTTGTCATTGTGGAAGACATAATGGATTTGCAATGGAAACATCCCTGAAAAGATGACCCAGTGTGTCAACTTGGACTTCTTTAAAAGTGATTGATCGAAAGTAATAACAAACCAGTCATAATTAGGTTGCTGCTGGTCAAGATGAAGGTGAAAGAAAGAAAATGGATAAGTTTCAACTATATATTTTTGCTATTGTTTGGATTATTTAACAATCTTTAAAATTTATTTAAAATTATTTTAAAGAGTTACTTTAGAGTTATTTACTTAATGCCTATTTTTATGCTTGTTGTAATTGAATACCACTTTTAAAAGGAGAGATGTAAATTAATCTACCGCAAGGAGTTTGTGAGTATTTTGAATACTCCGTATTTGTGAAACTGGCAATATTTGATAATGTGAAAGTATGCAGAAAAAACAATTACTACCAACCTGCCTTCAGTCGAGGACCTATATACTGCACGAGTCAAAGAGGGCTGTGAAAATATTTACAGACCCCTCACATCCCAGACATAAACTGTTTCAACTCCTAACCTCAAAACGACACTATAGAGCATTGCACACCAGAACAACTAGACACAAGAAGTTTTTTCCCGAAAGCCATCACTCTGCTAAACAAATAATTCCCTCAACCCTGTTCAACTATTACAAAGTCTGCACTACTGTTAATCTTGTCATCACTCCTTATCACCCATCCCCTCCCACTTGTGACTGTATGACTGTAACTTTGTCACTTGTATACTTACGATTTATATTGACTCTTTCCGTTTTTCTTTTATGTATACTGAGAGTATTTACACCAAGACAAATTCCTTGTGTGTCCAATCACACTTGGCCAATAAAGTATCTATTTGTGATGTTTGTAAATTGTTCTGTTACAACATGACTCCTGCCGTTGTGCCGGTCTTCTATAGTCTTTTCCAGCAATTTGCAGATTGCCCAACTTTTTAGTAGAATTTTAACCAATGTAAGGTTAAAAAATGTTTTCCATCTCAGTCTTGGCAACCAGCAAGACTGCCTTTAAATGGCCCCATGCATTTTGCAGAATTATTGTTAATGTTATTATCACCAGATCTTTTTCCTACCTTTTTTTACAAATAACTCAATGTAGCAAACATAGATAATACAGGTGGTCCTCACCTTATGACCTTAGATTAGTGACTATTCAAACTTACAAAAAAACTCTGAAAATGGGACCAGGTTTCGAAATGTTGATATCCCCCTGCAGTCACATGACCATATTTTGGGCACTTAGCAGCTGGTACACATTTACAACTATTGGTAGCTTTCCATGGTCACATGACTGCAATTTATGATGTTTTCCCCACAAGCCTGCGTTACATCAAGTTTCCAATAAAAAAACTGTATAGTGAACAATGGGTTTGCTTCACGACTGCCACATTCACTTAATGGCTACCTCAAAAAAGATCATAAAATTGGGTGCAGCCATGTGATGACCCGCTTTACATGACTTACAATGGAAATTGGGGTTCAATTATGGTCATAAATTGAGGACTACCTATACAGTATTCTTGCCACCTATTTTCCCCAAGAACCCTGTGAGGTGGCTTGGACTGACAAGAGTGTGACTAACCCAAAGTCACCCAGTTGCTTTTCATGTCTAAGGGAGGCTTAGGACCCAGTCTCCTGGTTTTCTAGTTTAGCACTTTCAACACTATACCAAACTGGTATAGTGTGAAATCTCTGTCCAGTGAACTGACCCTCACAATTCTTTGCAGTGATCCCTTTAGACCTCAGCAAAAAGAAAGCAGAAATCCCACCTAGTCCATTTGAGGGAAGAGTGTGAACAAATAAACATCTTATTTAGGCAGCATCATTCTCTTTAAGAAGTATTTGATGAGTTCAGTCCCACAGAACATATCAAAATAGTAGAAAAAGGATTTTTCCTGATTGCTACCTTGTTCTGAATTTGACTCAGATATTTGAAAAGTAATTGTATTTTTAACTATGTTAAAAGGCCTAAAGAGTTTGGGGTCAGAACTCTATGTTACTCAACAGAGGAGAAGGGTACAGAAAAGGATATTTTTCATCTTGATGTAGCAGTTGTGGAATAAAATGTTCCCAAAGGCCATCTGGCCCCGCTGCAACAAACCTTTTACCATTTTGTAACAGAGTATAGATTTGTTCAGCAACCAATTAAATAATCAACTGTTAATATCCTCCTTGTTTTCTCTGTGATATGTAATTTTGTTTATTGTATTTTAAAAAAAGATTTGTTCACCACTTTGAGAGAGTATTCTTTCATTTTAATGGCTGTGGATTCTCAATGATCCAGCTCATGGTTATCCCAAAGGTGCTTTTTCAAAAAGCAGCTGGACTTTTTGTTTTTCCTTGAAGACGTTTCGCCTCTCATCCAAGAAGCTTCTTCAGTTCTGTTCTTTTGTTTGAAGATTTTTATATCTACTTCATTGGTTTGCAACCTAAAGAAAGAATAGCATAAAAGGAGATGGGGGGGGGGGGAGAGACAAGGGAAGAAAACCACAAACATCCAGTTTTGACTGAGAGCTATGCATTCTTATGTCAGCTGACTAGAAATAGGAAAAAACATTGGGGAACAAACCAGATTTTTCAGCAGTGCCTGGGAATGCCTCAGCTTTTTACGTTTCCTTTCCTGCAGCTTGGTAGGATAAATGCTACCTACCAAATAAGGAATCCACTGAGCTGAGCTGAACATTTCAAACACAAAAAACAGGAGACTGAACCATTTTTAATAAATGTTCAATTTGGAGAAAATCTTATCGATGTGATCGTTAAGAGTTGGAATACATTTTGATGGCACATAAACATTCAAAGCAAGCCATAATTCTGAAGGACGAAACATATTTTGCCTGTCGACGTGGCTGAATATATCTTGAAAGAGGCGATTGCGCCCTCTGCCTCTATTGGCGCCACTTTTAATACAATCTTGCAACGTCCTTTCCCGCTTATTTGGTGAAAATAACAAGGAAAGCAGCTGAGACCCAAAACTTTATGAAATATAGGAGCCCGTTGTATTCAGTGGCTTCTCACGAAATGGTTCTCTGTTTCCGGGATACTCTCACGGAGTTCAATTCATGGGCGGGAAAAGGAAACAACGGGTGTGATATCTTTCACTTTCACAATTGCCCCAAACTGGAACTGCTGCTGAGTCGAACATTTTTCTTCCCCGCTGCCCAATATTAGCTGAGGGATCATGGCAGGTAAGATCATAGATATTTCTCTACCCCTCCCCCCCCCCACCTACCTTCCCCCCCCCTTAAAACTAAATCCTGAAAGAGCGAGAGTGGAGGTTTTACCGTCTCCTTTTCGCTTTCTTGGCGCTGCATTTTTTACATGTACTATACTTCCTTTTTCCACCCATTCTGGGCCTTGCAATGTGCAAAAAAAAAAAAAAGAACTTTATTCCTAAACTGGGTTGCTTTGGCTGCCTTCCTGTGTATAACAAAAAAAGATCAGGATTATATCAAGGCGCTGGCAGCATCGTATAGATAGAAAGTACCGAAGGACAGCAACTGGAACTCATTGCGAGAAGTTTTGTTTTATTGTTTTGAGATTCCTGATACAGTACTTATGTCTTACGAGATACGAGAATGAACAGATCTAAAATTAATGCAAGGCCTGCAAGCACTAATTTGCCCGCTAACTTAGTGTTTTGACATTCACAAGGCTGCTGGCTCCACCTGTTGTATTTTTATTCTGCTTTTTTTGAATGAATGATGGGGTGGGTGGGCGGACACTAGGCTCTGGGCCCAGTACATGTTCTTAGAAAATCAGAACGTGAATGTGACTGCAACTCAGTGTTCGGGCTGGAAATGAGCCTGCATGTTAGGGACTCTCCAGTACACCTTCGAATAAATGGTGGTAGTGATTGCCCATTAGTGCAAACTATTTGCAATTGGGCAAACTTTCCTCCATGATTTTGTTGTGTTGTTGGAAGAAATATCCTTCTGGGTTCAGTTCTAAGTGAGGAAGAAAGACACTGGAAACATGATGACTGCTTGGAAAGATGATTTAATGATGGACAGGACCACATGGCTTGGAGTTCCAAAGAAGGAAGGGCTGAGATGCTGAAAGTGCCTGGGTTTTATACCCCCTGTTGAGATTTGAATTTGAGCTTGTATTCTGATTGGTTGTCAGACTCCCATGGGGCCATGCAGGGGCAACTGTAGGCTGTCCTGAGTCCCAGGCTTGGTTGAGCCTTGCTGGATGATGATGTAATGAAAGGGCTTTGGGCAATTCCTATAGCTCTACCTGGAGACCTTTGTTATGTAAAATAGGCTGGTCTAGGCCAGAGTAATGGCCCATTAGCAAAGGTGGGGGGACTGAGTTTCTGCTTCTGAGTTTCTACTCTTTTTAGGAGAAATATTCTGCCTTTTTAAGATTTCCGAGGATATTTCATTTTTCTAGGAGAGGGATGGGTGCTAACTTCCTACAGTGTCTACAGCAGTGTTTCCCTAGCTTGCTGACTGGGAGATTCTGGGACTTGTAGCTGCCAAGGTTGAGAATTTTAAAGCTGCCAAAGTTGAGAAACGTGCTCTAAAATTTTCAAATGTTCCTTCCAACCCAAAGCTTGGGGATTTCTAGCGGAGACAATATAGAGACCATATTGGACCAATGAATTGATTCAATATAAAGTAACTTCATTCACAGATCCTGCCTGCTGCTTTTCAGGAAAGAGGTTACCCTCCACAACTGATGTTCATTTCCCTCACTATTCTCCCTCACTTGAATCATGGCTTTCCACTTCAACATTAGTCAAGTCTTATATTTTCAGGACCTAGCAGCCAAATGCAGAGGGTGACTTGAATTAAGATGGGGCTTATTCTACATTTTCACTGCATATGTTTAAATGATAAGAAGCTGATATCTATATTTCCTTTCTCACCCCTAAATACATTTCCGTTTTCCTAGGGTCATTTATTTCTACATGTTGTCCAGTAATACCTGTCAAAGTATTTGGCTATGCATTAGGAAAAGAGAAAGTGGTGCCCTTTTCATACAACAAGTTTACTGGTTTCCTGAATTAACCCATTTGCTGTGCTTATATAAAATAGAGAATGATAAACTAACTTAAATGTACAGAGTTTACAGGCCCTAAGCTAAAAAAGCAAACTCAGATTGACATTGGACAAGCTTAGCACGTGGCATAAATCAGCTACTCGTATTTAATTGATTTGTTAAATGTATTGTAGGAACAGTACATACTAACTTATATTTTAACTGCCTGCTCCTATTTATCACAAAGTTTTCTTCCAGACTTATATTGTTTGGGGGTTATAGGAATTGTAATCCCAAAATCTCTGATTGGAGAAAAGAAAGAGCATACACACACACACACAAATCTGGTTTACACATCACACTGAATCCTAATGTAGTTAATCATGTGTTGTGGTTTCCATGGCACACTAAACTAATAAACCACTTTCTGGCATTCTTGTACATATATCAACACTTGCAGTGAGAGTACACACCCAGTGTACTCTCTGTGAGACTTGAATCTAAGAGTCAACATTACAGATTACAGATAGTCCTCAGTTTCCAAACACAATTGGGACCATAATTTCTATTGTAAGATATTTCATTTACAAGTTGAATCAGGCCTGATTTTTATGGTGGTTATTAAGCAATTCATGTCATTAAATGAATCCAGCTTCCCCAATGGGCATTTTTTTTTTTTGCCAGAAATTAGCAAAAAAAAAAAAAAAAAGACAGCAAATTACTATCACTTGACTGGAGAATGCTGCAAATCAATTGTAAATGCAAGCAGGTTGCCAATTGCCCAAACTGCAGCCACATGAGTGCAGAGGTTTTTGAACAATCGTGAATGCAAATGCAGGTCATAAGCCACTTGTTCCAAGGCTGTTGTAACTTTGAACTGACATGAAAAGACTCTAAGTCAAGGTCTATCTGTATCTCAGTAAAATTGTAATTCTTCAAGTGTGATATATTTTTAAAAATGTAATTGCTTTCCTTACAGACAATAAGTTGAAAGAAGTGCGCCATGAGTTTATAACACGTAGTAACCCAGCTGTCATCAGCCAACTCTTGGATGATCTGCTCCATCAGGGAATCTTGTGTGATGAAGAGCTGGAAGACGTGAATGTGAAAAATAAGAGGCAGGACCAAGCAAGAATGTTGATCGATAATGTGAGGAGAAAGGGGCCTGAAGCTAGCTGCTGCTTTATTAACTTCCTCCGGGCCCGAGATCCTTACTTAGCTGAACAACTGGGTCTCCAAAATGTTCCTGCTGGTATTTATTATCTTATAACATAATCTCTAGCTTTCGGCCAAAATTACTGGCCTCCCTCCCAGAATCATGCAAAGGCTTTCTGTTGTGCCCCAAACTGTTTGGGCTGGTTAGATTTGGCCATATTGGTGTAATAAGTCATTTTGAAAGGAAACTTTACCATAAGATGATATTTCCCTGTTTTTAGGAGCACATTCTTAAGAATGTTTCTATTTACTAAGATATAGGTACATGAAATTTGGGTGCCTTCCAATTTTTAATTAGCTTCATCGTATCTTATAAAAACTCTCCCTTAATTTTTTTCGGACTAGGACAGTGATGGTGAATCTTTTGGACTCAGTGTGTCAAAAATTCAGAAAAAGCCTATCTTGACTCTGCTGGTGTGTCACGCCCTCCCCATCGGACAAAGGAGAAATAATTCTTAACAAAGTGTTGTTTGAGATAGTGAGATGGGCAGCATACAAATGTAATTAAATAAATAAAAACTCACATAATTGCAAATATTTTTCAATTTGTCTTTGTCTCTCTATCTGAGGTTGCATGAGGCCTGGAAACTTTGGAGAATGCTCTTGCATGGCCTGCTCTGAAAAGAACAGGAAAGCTTGCCCCATTCTTGTACCCTTTTTTGAGGCTCCAGAGGCTGGGTGAGAGGAGAGACATTTTGCACGATCTCTAGAGGGTCCAGAAGCCACGGGAGAGCATACCACATTCTTGTGTGGTGTCTGGAACCTCTGGAAACCATGTGAGGACTTCCCGTGCTTTTTGGAGGCTAGAGAGGCCACATGAGATAGTGGTGTGCTCTTACGCAGCTTCTGCTCATTTCAACTGAGACTGAGTCGGGCAACCATATACATTTTCTTAAATGAATAAATCATTTGAAGGGATAGGTTAGAAGTTAGGCCACAAGAATCAGAAAAGTTGGTAGGCTGGATGTTAAGTTATCCACTAGGTTTCTAGTTAGTATCTTATAGGCTTTCTAGCAGACCAGCAACATGGAGGAAAGGTCTTCTTTGCCAGCAGCTCTGTTCATGCTGCTTAATTTTCTGCATGTTCTTTTTAAATCTGCTACGGCAGTGGATTTAATAAGCTTTCTCGGGGCCCAGACTTGCTAATTGCTAACTGATTTTTTTCCTGTTGGAGCTGACAAAAAAACAAGTGTCCCTGTGATGTACTACAATTCTCAATGCCCTTCTGACAGGTTGCTAGGGACTGTAATTTAGCAATTTAAAAGGTCAGACTCTGGCTCATGTGATATTTAATAATTCACTGTGGTAAAAAAGCTGAATCTACTGTTCACCTTTCCTTCCATCTCCAGTTGGCCAGCCAATAGAAGGTAACATCTCAGAGGAAGAAGTCCAGTTTCTGACATCTGAAAATGGGATCAGGCTTTGTCCTCAGAATGATTTTCAGAAAATACAGACTACTGAAGGCACCGAGGTGAATTGGTTGACCTAATTAGATCTATCCAAGATCTAATGAGCTTAAATACTGCACTTTATTGCATGCAACAGCTGCTGTAAAGGTAGCCACAGATGTGAACTGAAAATTCATCTTTTGTAGCAGAAATTTTGAATATATCTTAAATTCTCGTTTTCCCCCCCCCCCCCCCCAAGCTTTTAGAAATATTACCTTGTTTTATTTCTAAAGCAAAAAAAATGAGCTGGGAATCCTCTGTTGTTCCATATCTAACACAAATAAAACAGGCAACATGAAATGAAGGGAGTTTAAATATAATGGGACCACAATACCTTCATTGGCTTTAAAAGTAGGCAATTCGTGGACTCCGTGGCTTCCCAGAATTGCCCTGCCCTCTGAATATTTGCTACTAGTTACATGAAGGTGAAAGAAGAGGAAATCTTGCCTTCAAGTCAGGCTTGTGGATTTCCTCAAGTGCCTAGCCACTCACTATGGCAAATAGGAAGTTATTCTATTTTGGGTCTGATTTAGCAATTTTATTTTTCTGGTTAAGTGGAACAAATCTTCAGATTCAAATAATCTCTGAACACTAAATTCTGCTAGCAAAACCATTGTATCTGTCAACCTTGTTTGTAGATTTTGTAGCGCCATCAAGATCATTCAAATATTACCAAACTAATTTCCAAGATCCCCCACCACTGGCTAAGATTGATCAGAATTAAGAGAGCTCTAAACTAGATGGATGCTTGGCATAACTATAGTTCAGGATATGCATCATTTTTGTTTCCCCATTCAGATCTACCCTATCAATAATCCTAAGACTCGTACTCGCCTGGCCTTGATAATCTGCAATATCAAATTTGAGTACTTGAATGAGAGATTGGGGGCTGAGGTAGACTTGGAACGGATGACGCTTCTCCTACAAGATCTGGGATACAATGTGGAAACAGAGACCAATTTAAACTCACAGGTAAAAAAAAGTTAAGTTTACAGACTAACATTCAAGGAATGGGTGTTGAAGTTTTGATTTTGCCCTTTAATGCGTGTATTAATTCTAGCTTCCCATAGTTAGTTGGACTGAAGCAGCTTCAAAATTGAATAAAGCATGGCAATCTTGTTAAACTACCTACACAATAATATTTAGCACAGATGTAGACAATCTAATACCATGTGGATTTTTTAAATTATAAACCCAGCAAGCCTTGGCTCATGGCCATGCTGATTGGAGTTGATGGGACCTCAACTCCAAAGAACCGTAGGTTACCAAGTTGTTTATACCCTTTTAGTATAAGGAAAAATGTGCCTGAATTGGTAATTGAACTTCTCTCCTGGACTGCCTTTTTTAAATTTCAACTGCCAGCTTATTGCTTCTTTTTCATCTCCCAGAATTGTTTCTCCAAAAAAAACAAAAAACCAGTTGAGGAGGCTAGCTTTCCAGTGAGAATATACTATTATACTGGCCAGGATGTTTGTTTGTTTTTCCTTCTGGAGAGCATGAGGAGGTCAGCCTTCCATTCAGCTGTGAACATAGGACACACACATACACACACCCCATCGCCATATTGGAGATTTGTGACAGTGTTCCCAAATCTCAGATATGGAGATTTGCTGCACAGCCCTCCCATTCAAATCTAGAGAGAAAAAGCTGGTAATTGTTTCTGCATTGAATTTTTACTAAGCTTGAATAATTTAAATATAGTGCAACTACAAGAAGGCTACCTCCATTCTTCTTCTCAATTCTAATAATGAATTGAGAGTTAGTTAGAAATTCCATTTCCGCTCCTGACCCACCTTCTCTTTTCATTGCTTTCAGGGTATAACCACTTGCTTGAAGAAATTTGCAGCTCGGGAAGAGCACAAGACCTCAGATGGAATGTTTGTGGTGCTGATGTCTCATGGGCTTCAGGACAGCCTTTGTGGAGTCCATTCAGAAGGCGAACAGTCTGACATCTTCTCCATCAAAACTGTCTTCTCCACCTTCAACAACATAAATTGCCCAGCTTTGAGGGGAAAGCCCAAGGTGGTCATTATTCAAGCTTGTCGTGGTGGTAGGTTGCTGAAGTTGAGATCAGGGAGAGGGGGGAGGCAGGCGAGTGTTTGGCAGGAGTATATAGTCTCTTGCACATAGTCTTAATTTGACCAAGCAACCTCTAGATCAGGGGATGGGGAACTATGGCGCTTTTATGACTTGTGGACTTCAGCTCCCAGAATTCCTGAATCACCGATGCTGCATCAGGATTTCTGGGAGTTGAAGTCCACAAGTCATAAAGGGGCCATAGTTCCCCACTTCTGCTCTAGACCAACATCTGCTTTTGGCAAAGTGATTTGTAGATATTTACTGCTGATTTTATTTATCTCCACAAGACCTGTGATCTTCAGGTGTGCTGAAATAATGACTTTCCATAAATGGTAATAGAATAGTTGGGAAAAACTAATTTTGAACCTTGTCTTAAACCTTGGGAGTTCGCCTAATTGAAACCTGTCAGGAACTAAAGGCTATGTTGTACTTTTATGATGATCATAAAGCCTTGTGTGAGTAACCTCTGTTCTGTCAGTGGCTTTTGATAATGATTGTTTATTCCCACATTTTGTTTCACAAGGGCAAAGAGGGTATGTGATAGAAAACGCGGAAGACTCCGCTGCATCTGCTGCTGCCTCTCTCCAGTCTGATTCACACACCGTGCAATTCCAAACTGATGCTGTTCGGAGAGTACATGTGGAGAGTGACTTCATCTGCCTATATTCCACCACCCCTGGTAAGAGACTGTAAAAAGAAAATTGCTAAGTAGGGTTCCAAAGCAGGACAGAAATGAAAATAATTTCTGCCTTAGCAATACAAGCATTTAGTTCACAAAGCTGTCTGTCAAAGATTGACAACTAGTCAGTTAAGAAAACTGGTCTGGACCTCTTTTCTAAGTCAGAAATTCTCTGGCATGCTTGCTGCAAAAGGCCTAGTCATTCATTCATTTGTTTCTAAGATTTTTTTTATCCCACCTTTATTATTTTGTAAATAACTCACAGCAAAGATCATAGTAATACTCCTTCCTCTTCTTCTTTTTCACCACCACAACAACCCTGTGAGGTAGATAAATTCAGGGATTTGAAAATATATTGAACCACAGCGAACCGGTTGGTGGGATTTTTGAATCCCACCCCTGTATCCAGCATACCCTGCTAAGTCCCCGTAGGCCTTGGGCTCCCCACCTATTCATATCTATTATTGGGGAAGGAGGGCAGGCCACTCATCCCTGGGTAACTTGCCTGCCTCTAGGAAATAGCTGCCATTTTTGGCACACCCACAATTTCTTGAAGTCGTGCCAAAATGGTGGCCACTTCTGCAGGGGTGGGATTCAATTTTTTTAACAACTGGTTCTGTGGGCGTGGCTTAGTTGGTGGGTGTGGCTTGGTGGTCATGTGACTGGGTGGGCGTGGCCAACTCAACGTCACTCACATCGAGGGGAGCTTATCGCCTGGCTTCTCGTGACTGGGGATGCTGTACTGGTTGTAAGTGTGAAAAATGGTCATAAGTCACTTTTTCAGTGTCATTGTACCTTTGAATGGTCACTAAATGAACTGTTGTAAGTCAAGGATTATCTGTACAAAAATACAAAAAGCTTCTTTGCTTGCAAAAAGCTGCCCTAAATACCAATCATTAAATTAAAAATACCTGCAAGCCAGAGTTACAAATCAGGCAGGGTGATAGAGCACCTTGAAGAATTAAAATAGTTAAAATGCAATGATAACTATCAGCAGCCAACTCTTGCTCATAAAGTGAAACCTTTTAACAGAGAGGTCATTTAAGCTCAAAGAAAGAGCACACCCAGGAAAAGCAATCCTTAGATCCATTTGCACCACTTAAAGATACCAGCTGGTCTCACTCACATCACAAGATATCCTAAGGAAATCATCCAGATTTAAGGAAAGGTGACATGGCCCCCAGAAAGGCAGTAAAAAAATCAGTGCCAAGCTTGCATCCTGCCTCTTGGAAATATACCCCAAAAGAACAGTGCCAGATACCACTAAAGCAGTGAAGGAAGACCCCCTCCCCAGATAGAAAAAGAAATCATATGGCAGGAAAAAATTCAAACACAATACAAATAATTAAATCTCAACAGTAGCTGTTGCTTGTTAAACCAATTACCAGAACAAATAAGACACAGATTTCTAGCCAGATTTCTCAACCGAGTTTCTTTTCAGGAACAGAGATTAACCTTTTTCCTTCCAAAGAATGCTGAATAGGGAAAATTATCCCATCAATAAACACAGAATTAAACATCACCAAGGACAGAATTAAACATCACCAAAAACCACTTTTAGACCAAAACTCAGAAAGTGTATGTAAATTCACATTTGAATGTCAATCTTTTTAGCTAGCCAAAAAGCCTTGCTGAATGTCACTCATCTTGGTTCCTTGTCATTAAAAAGCTTTCTGCAGCTCTGATTCATTATTCACTTATTTCTTCAAAGTGCTGATCATTGCATGCAGACTGGAAGTATTTCCAGGGGAGTATTTCCTCCCAACAGCAGTGTAAAAAGCTTAAAACAACCCTTCCTCTTTAAGAAAGCCAAGCATCAGAAGCTCCGGAGATAGTAAGTCTAGGCATACTGCCAAAAATGTAATAAGGGTAGAAAAAAAACAAAAGATTTCTTCTAACTACTGGTTCTCTGAATTGCTTAGAAAGTTAACAAGGTGTTCTATAGAACAGGTCAAAACCGGTAGAATCCCACCCCTGTGCTTCTGGGAATGGAGCGCTCCATTCTGCTTCTCTAATGTGGTCTGCACAGCACTGAGAAAACCTTTAGAGGTTTTTAAAAGGTAAGTGGATAATGCGAGGTTGGGAGGAGACCAAGCCCTGCAAGGGACCTGGGAGAAAACCTATGGATACCTGGTGGAGAGGGGAAAGTAGGTCCAAGGACTGTAGGGATGAAGAGGAGCAGGATGTCATGCTCCTGGTGGAGACTGACTGGGGGAGAGGAGGAACAGCCAACAGGGAGTGGAAGTGTGGCTCTGGAGGTTGTGGAGGAGGCTGAGGAAGGATAGAGGCTGGTTGAGCAGTGAGAGGAGGACCCAGGCCCATCCCCTCTCCATCCTAGGGTATGCAGGGAGGAGAGGATAAGGGAGAGACGTGGTCTACTTGGGAGAAGAGAGCCTTGACCCTCTTCATGGGCTGCAGACAGACATGTGTACCAGCAAACGCTGGAAACAAAGTGTGGACATATCTCTGATTTATAGTTCATCTCTGAGTTTGGCGTCATTCCCAGTGTGTGTTCTGTTATCTGTGGACATCCTCCAGCCCTTATCTTGCCTGGTTTGTGTTGTTTTTTTCCCTCCTTCTTGTAACTGCTTGTGGGAGTTTTTTGTCTTCCGTCAAGGATATTTGGAGCTTGGAAGCAACGTGAAGGAATAAAAGGGGCTTCACTGGGTTTTTGTGACTGTGTTTATTTTGTGTCCCCACCTTGGGTAATCACACAGGAAAGGGTTTTTAGGGGGTCTTTGGGGGGGGGGGGGGGTCTTGGGAGGCTGAATGCAGGTGGGCTGGGGCCTGCATTAGATCTCTCAGGGTCTTCCCCACCCCTGAAGTTCTTCTCTGTTTAATGATCTACATCAGGGGTGTCCAACCTTGGCAACTTTAAGACTTGTGGACTTCAACTCCCAGAATTCCTCAGCCAGCTTTGCTGGCTGAGGAATTCTGGGAGTTGAAGTCCAC